GAAGTTCTAATCCATACTAAAACATGGATGACACTGAAAACACTGTATTAAGTGAAAAAAGCCAGGTACATGCTAAATACTGTATGACACCATTTATACGAAATGTCAAGAATAGGCAAATCCCAGCCAGGTGCATGCCTTTAATCCCAGCACTCTGGGAGGCTGAGGCAGGCAGATCATTGAGGTCAGTAGTATGAGATCAGCCCGGCCAACATAGCAAAACCCCATCTTTACAAAATATACAAAATTAGCTGGGCATGGTGGTGTGTGCCTGTAATCCCAGCTACTCAGGAGGCTGAGGCAGGAGAATCACTTGAACCTGGGATGCAAAGGTTCAGTGAGCTGACATCACACCACTGCACTCCAGCCTGGGCAACAGAAAGAGACTCTGTCTCAAAAAAAAACAAACAAAAAAGAACAGGCGAATCCCTAGAGGCAGAAAGCAGATCAGTGGTTGCCAGGGGCTCAGGGAATTCGGAGTGACTGCTAATGAGTATGGGGTTTCTTTCCAGAGTGATGAAAATATTCTCCAATTAGATAGTGGTGATTGGTGCACAACCCTATAACTATACATAATCTATGGAATTGTACATTTTTTTTCCCTTTTTTTGAGACAGGGTCTTGTTCTGTCACCTAGGTGGGAGTGCAGAGGCACGATCGCAGCTTATTGTAGCTTCAATCTCCTAGGCTCAAGCAATACTCCTGCCTCATTTTTCAATTTTTGCTTTATAGACACGGTCTCATTATATTGCCCAGGTTGGTCTAGAACTCCTGAGCTCAAGCGATCCACACACCTCAGTGTCCCAAAGTGTTGGGATTACAGGCATGAGCCACTGCACATGATGGATGCAGTGAACTTTATGGTATATTAATTATATTTTAATAAAATTGTTATGTAATTTTTTCAAGGTTTGTACATGAATGTTCCTAACAGCTTCATTCACAAGAGACCAAAACTCAAAGCAATCCAAATGCCCATCAACAGGAAAATGGAAAACAAATTGCAGCATGCTTATGCAGCCGAATACTACTCAGCAATAAAAAAGTAATAAACTCCTGATACACATGACACAATGGAAGAATCTCAAAAGTGTTACTTAAGATATTGACACAAAAATAATATTGCATGATTCTGTTTACACTGAATTCAAGAATAGGCAATGTAAATCTGTAGAGACAGAAATCAGAAGAGGGGCTTTCTATGGGGATTGATAGGAGGAAAGAGTGAGGGTATTTTCCATGGCAATGACTGTGCACCACATCCTATCTAGGTGCTGCTTATACAAGTGCATTCATTTACCCAACTAATTATACACAACTAAGATCTGTGCATTTCACTGCATCTAAATGTTACCCCATTTAAAGAAAATCAAGGGAAATTAACATACTTTTTACAGTGAATGGCAGGGTGTTTTCTACTTGATTCTCCAATTAAGATCCAATATTCCACTTCTTGTGGTGAGAGAGGCCCCCTGCTAAATATAAAATACATTCAGAGTAAGTTTCACAGGTACTCACTCCCGTGAGTCTATTGCTTCAACTATATATTAATAAAAGGTATACTAAAGTGTATTCAAACACAGCATTCATTCGGCAAGAACAGACATTAGAGCTTAGGTAGGGGCAAATTTCAACAAGCCATTAAAGAGAACTCACAAATTAAATTTCAGCCTTAATCCTCTATGCAAAATCTAGGCTGTAAAGTGTTTTACCACCTCTAAGATTACAGGAGGAAAAAAAAAGTCCTGGAATGCTACCAGCATATTTCCACTACTCTTCTCCTTTCACTAAGAATTCAAGACATCTCAAAAGGCATCCTAAAAATAAAACCCTAATGCAATGGAGTCTTTAAACACACTGATGTCCTAATCCCATCCCTGGGCATTCTAAATCAAATAGGCCTAGAGTAGAGCCTGGGGATTTGTATAGTTTTTTTTAAAAAAAAAAACAAAATCACACGATTCTTAGGTACAGGCAGAAGTGAGGAACTCTCTTTTAAAAGGTACAAAGTTGGTTTAAAATCATGATTTACACTTGATAAATGTCTGAAATAAGGCGAAGCTGCAGGATGAAATCATAAAAGAAATACACAATATACCTCATATATAAGAAATTCCACTTCCAGAGAGACAAGTAAAGCATTTCAGCATTTGAAGAGAGCAAGAGAGTTCCAGCTTGCTCCTCATTCACAAAACACAACTTCCAGCTTCCTGGTTCTCCCAGGTCATGCCAACCTGTCCCAGAATCCCTCTTCCCTAACCCCGAGGGGCCTTTGAGTGGGACTCCAAGGCCACAAGGCCTCCAGTCCCAGATAACCCATCCAGACTGGGTGGCTCACACCTGTAATCCCAGCACTTTGGGAAACTGAGGCGGTCTGATCACTGGAGCCCAAGAGTTCAAGACCAGCCTGGGAAACATGTTGAAACCCATCTCTAAAACAAAAAAATAGAAAAATTAGCCAGGTGAGGTGGTGAGTACTTGTAGTCCCAGCTACTCAGGAGGCTAAGGTAGGAGGATCACTGAGCCCAGGAGGTTGAGGCTGCAGTGAGCTACGATCTCACTACTGCACTCTAGTCGGGGCAACAGAGAAAGACCTTGTTCAAAAAAAAAAGAACCCATGATCAAGCCAATCCCTTTGCTCAAAGTATTCGTGGCTTGTGTTTTCACCAATTCTTTTTTTTTTTTTTTTAAAGAAAGGGTCTTGCTCTGTCACCCAGGCTGGAGTGCAGTGGCGTGATCTCAGCTCAAGCAATCCTCCCACTTCAGCCACCCAAGTAGCTGGGATGACAGGTACACACCAATACACCTGGCTAAGTTTTGCATTTTTTATAGAGACAGGGTCTCACTATGTTGCCTAAGCTGGTCTTGAACTCCTGCGTGCAAGCAATCTGCCTGCCTCAGCCTCCCAAAATGCTGGAATTAGGCCACTGCACCCCACCCACCAATTCTTAACTAGATACTTCTCCTTTGCTTAGAACCATCCTGGTATTATTTCAACCCATCGTAAGGAAAACAGGTTAAGCAGGAAAAAAAAATTAAAATTCAGTCACTTTCTCTTTCTTAGGGATAATCTCTTCCAAAAAGGTCCAAGTTTACCAGTCAAGCTACATAGTTAATAAAACAGAAACTCTGGATTAGGCAAAGAAAATAATATAACCATGAAGGTCATATAATTTCTGACATTAGAAATAAAAATTGGATCTCGAGCTTCCTTGCAATTAGGAAAAAGGGGAACCAGATTCCATGTTCTTCACTTTAAGAAAGGAAGATCCTTTTTAATTTACTCAGTTGTGACAATCTTCTTGACACTAGATTCTGTCATACTTTGTTCATGTGGGACATTGGATGAGGCACTGAGACATAATTTGTAAAATCCTTTGCAACTACTTCATAATAAATGTAAAAATTACTTTTCAGGAATGGTATGGTGGCTCACACCTGTAATCCCAGCACCTTGGGTGGCCCAGAGAGGAGGACCACTTGAAGTCAGGAGTTTGAGACCAGGCTGCACAACATAGCAAGAACTTGTCTCTACAGAAATCACAAATTAAAACATTTAATGAGCTGGGCATGGTGGTGTATGCCTGTAGCCCTAGCTACTCAGGAGGCTGAGGCAGGAGGATTGCTCGACCAGGAGTTAGAGGCTGCACTGAGCTATGATTATACCACTGCACCCCAGCCTGGGTGACAGAGTGAAACCCTGTCTCTAAGGGAAAAAAAATGACTTTTCAAATGACTTGTTCCTATAATGACTGAACAATAGTACCTAAATGGAAATTTTCAACAACATAATTAACTAAATGCAATTCTGCAGAAGAGTAAGTCTAATGTTTAAAGAACAGTCTAACTTGATGTCAGGAAAGCAGATCGCCAAGCCTTTCAATTTCAGAGACTTCGAATATTTTTTAATATTTCTTAAAATGCACTTTCTAGAACATGTCAATGCTTACCTTAATGCTTTATTAGCTTTAACAGGGGTTGCTTCGAAGCCAATTGGACAAAAATAATGATTTTGGCAATGATAGATATAAGCCAGCGATTCATCTTTCAATCCCCGGGTTAACTTTGACAGGGCCCCTGAAGCTATTAAAATAAACAAACAAACAAACAAACTGAAAGCCCACAAAGCAATGTCCATGCTTCACATGAAGGACTGGTTAAGGGCTTAGGGACAGAAAAGACATTACTTGAAACACACTGACACTGCTGGGGAAAAAACAAGAAGCTATTGATTGGTACAAGGAATGTTAATAAATGTATTCTGTTTTACCCTTTAAACACAGATAATCTCATTAGCAAACTAAAGAACTAAAATCTGTCCTTGCTTACCAAAACCTTCTAATAACACACACAGGTGTCTATGAAATTTGTCTGAAACCTAATACCGAGTGTATTCAGCCATGGTTTCAACTCTTCTGGTTATACACAGCTATCACTAAAAATTCTGAACAAGTATGTCCAATTTTAGCACATGCATTTATTAACTATATACATAAACTACTGTACCAATATTCTTTATAAAAGATATACAAATTGTTGGATTTTAAAATTAGATTGTAATACAGAGGTTCTAATATATACAGTATGTACATCCCAACTTAAAGACTACTGATATACATGAATAAAAATAAACTCGAGGTAATAAACAAGTTTCTAAAATGCAAACTTCCCCTACTAATGAAACAGCCACATAAAAAGGGCTTCCCAGAGAATCTTCAACTGGCCTGAGTGCTGGAGGATGGGGTTCGGCCTCAGGAAGTGCCCGCTGTCTGCAGTAGGGGAGAAGCCTGGACTCTCCTGTCCCTGTGTGGTAACCTGAGATTCAATCTGTGAGATGGGGGCCTGTTAGCAGGAATCCTTCTTGCTTTGCTGAGTTTTTTCCTTTTCACCCAATAAATTCTGTTCCCCCTCACCTTTCAAAGTGTCTGCGAGCCTAATCTCATGTGATAAAAACCCAGTATTTTCTACAATACTAACACACAACTTTAATCTTTCCACAGAACTTACAGAGGCTAGCAGAGTAGCCTTCACAAGCCAAGTGACAAGATAATCTCTACAGAGACAGGCTGGTAGTACCACAACAACCTCTTATGCCCACTCTTCTTCGTATATTTGCCATAACTAAAATAGTTGTCAATTTCAAATGTATGATCCTAAGAAATGACTTTTTACCAGCACTTAGTACTCAAAGGCATTAACTGAGGTTTCATTAACTTGCATCTCCTGGAAGAAGCTAAATTATTTATTAACAAAAAGCCCATTAAAACTAGAAATCCAAAAATAGATGAAGATGAGAGCTTGCAAGTCATAGTTTCAATGACCGACTTTTTGGCCACTGAAATAGCTGAAGACCACTAAGAACAGCAGGTCCTCGCTGCAGCAGAGAGCCAAGGAGTGATGCACAGTCCCTCAAGTGCATTAGTAGGGAAGACGGAACAAGTAACTTTAATAGAAGGTGGAATAACATAGTGCCACAAAAAAGGTACAGAATTCAAAGGAGAAAGAGCACATCAGGTTTGAGGAGTCAAGAAGGGGTAGCATTCAAGATGAAACTTAATGAAGTGTCAGGATTTCAACAATCTAGACAGAGGAAAGAGCATAATGGGAAAACAGAACCACTGGAGAGGAAACATACTCCGGAAACAGCCAGTGATGTAGTTTACGGAACACAGGGTACGACGGTATAGAGAAGTCTACCGTGGGACACCCCAACATTTCAGCCCCAAATCAGAAAAAGGTCACCCTCTGAAATACAAGATAGTAAACACAGCATTTATTTGTTTATTTTTATTTTTTATTTTTTTGAGACAGAGTCTTGCTCTGTCACCCAGGCTGGAGTGCAATTGCACAATCTCAGCTCACTGCAACCTCTGCCTCCGGGTTCAAACAATCCTCATGCCTCAGCCTCCCGAGTAACTGAGATTCCAGGCACTTACCACCATGCCCAGCTAATTTTTGTATTTGTAGTAGAGACGGGGTTTCACTATGTTGGCCAGGTTGGCCTTAAACTCCTGACGTCAAGCGATCAGCTCATCTTGGCCTCCCAAAGTGCTGGGATTACAGGCGTGAGCCACAGTGCCAATACAGTAAATACGGCATTTAATACGTTAAGGTAGTCGTCCAAGAAAGTCATTCTGTATATGAGAAGACACAAATGTATTACTGAGGGTAGGTAAATTCAGAAGTTCAGTCTGTATTCCAGTATGATCTGGCTGGGCTTGACCAACATAAAGAAACCCCATCTCAAAAAATTAGCCAGGCATGGTGGCACATGCCTGTGATCCCAGCTACTTGGGTGGCTGAGGCAGGTGAATCACTTGAACCCTGGAAGTGGAGGTTGTGGTGAGCCAAGATCGCGCCACTGCACTGAAGCTTGGGCAACAAGAGCAAAATTTTATCTCAAAAAAAAAAAAAAAAAAAATCTGGCGGGGGCATGGTGGCTCATGCCTGTAATCCCAGCCCTTTGGGAGGCCGAGGTGGCAGATCACCTGAGGTCAGGAGTTTGAGACCCGCCTGACCAACATTGAGAAACCTTGCCTCTACTACAATTACAAAATTAGCCAGACCTGGTGGCACATGCCTATAATCCCAGCTACTCAGGAGGCTGAGGCAGGAGCATCCTTGAACCCAGAGGTGGAGGTTGAGGTGAGCTGAGATCACGCCACTGCACTCCAGCCTGGTCAACAAGAGCAAAACTCCATCTCAAAAAAAAAAGTGTTTTTAAACAAACACTTACTCTTTCACTTGCTTTCACTGAACTGCTATGTATTCAGTTTACAGGGTGCAAAATGTCATTAGCAGACATTTATAAAACTTTTAATGAACACAACTGACAGAATCATTACTATACCTTCTAATAACTAGAGAATGACCATGAAAATCTTTTGGACCAGAAAAAGGTTTGGCATATATTGTGGAAATAAACATTCGAGAACTGTCAAAGACAATGCCAAATCATGCATTTTCTTTTCACGGCAAATGAAGACACCTCAAATGAGATCCAGAAGAAACAAGAGACGGTGAAATCAGATAGATATACATTTCATACATTACACCAAATACAGAGGAAAAAAGTTTCAATATATTTAAAAAAGAAAGGGCTTGAAAATATGAGTAAGGAGACCATTTTTAAAAACAAACAGATTTTTTAAAAGAACGACATAGTAAAAATGATTGAAAACCTCTTTTAAAAAAACTCAAATTCAATAGATAGTACAAAAAGCAAATTATACACACCTGAAGAGAAAATTGCCAAACAAGATAATATATCCTTTCGTAGTTTTTCATTGCCTGTTCACTTACTGAGAGTAGGGTGGTGACAGTCTCACTAGAAACATAATTAAATAGCAACACAGCATTTAAAGCGGTGTTTTCCAGAGGGATAGACAGGCCCCATGTGAAGGCATAGAATTGAGTCAGTAGGAATAAATGCTAGCTCTTACCGAGTTCTTACTCTATAACACAGGGTGCTAAGCACATTACAAATATGTCTCCTTTTATTCTCACACTGACCCTATACAAATATAGAAAGATAAAAGGTCTACACCAAGGCTCAGCAAGTGACTTGTTCAAGGTCACAAAACTAGTACATGTAGAAACCAACATGTATTCTCCAAGCCTGCCTCCAAGTAACCAACTTGATATACCCAATATAGGTCAACAGAAATATATCTTACTTTGGGCTGTCTTTTACCTTGGCAAACCATACAGCTTCTATTGACAACAATTCTCTTCTTGATTAATCCTTGAGTACTCTTTTCAACCAGGCCTGGACCTCAGACTTCTGTATCCAGTTTTAGCAAGAATCCTGCTAAGTCAGTTTATAGAGAACGCCCAACCCTTAATATCTAATCAACTTCTTCGCCCCCTTCCCCTACCAACTCTTGATGTCTCAGCCCTTGACCTGCCTTTAGCAAGAAGTCTGTTAGGCCAGTTTAGCAAGAATTCCTGATGTCCCCTCTTAGTAATTTCCCACCTGTAAGGTCCTCGCTGTGTCCCTTGGCTATAAACTCCCAGCTGTCTTTGCTGTATTCAGAGTTGAGCCTGATCTCTCATCCCTACTATAATCCTCCTTTCCAAGTCTTAAATAAAGTCTTCCTTACTCTTTCAAGGAGTGTCAGAATAATTCTGTCTTTAACAATGTATTACAATTTTCTGATTTGTACAGCAAATTGCTTTTCTGTACATTCATTGCTTTTGTACAGTCAAAAGATTATAACAATTTAAAAAATGGAAATTGCTAATACTAGAAATTATTTAATTAGCACATAACTAAAATATCCCTGAGATCAACTCCATTAATATCTATGTTATAACCAAGACTATTTTATAGAACTTTGTCACTTTCACAGTCTATTCTCCTGTCATTATATGTTACCACACAGGTCTAACATCAAATATTCTCAAATCTTTACATTCCTTCTTAGGAAGAAAAACTGCTAAAACTCCATGCTGTTTCCTTAGAGTTTTACTAGTATGTGCACACACAGGCGCAGGCACACACACACACACACACACACACACAAACATACATCGTGGACCCAAATAATACAGTGTGTTACAGTAGTATTTATGATATTCCTTAAAGTTCAAAGGTTCTACATGAAAAGATTAGAAGAAGTAAAACATTAAACTGCATATTAAAAAGTGCCCTGCAGATTACTATTATGATTTCTCCCTCAGACAAAAAGACATGCAAGTAACAGACTGTGTTGAGGGTGTACATAACATTCCAGGAATCTAAACAGCCAGTCTTTGAGATAGATTCAAAATCGTGTGTGTGTGTGTGTGTGTGTGTGTGTGTGTGTGTGAATCTTCTATATGTATACCTACCAGTTTCTCCCGCTGTTTTGTTCTTCCCATGAGGCTTATATAGAACATAAGAGCATCCTTTTACATGGAAGTGGTCATTAATTTGTCTAAACCACCTGAAAATACAAGAAGATTTGCTCATAGCAACAATTCTACAAGAAAGATGGCATTATTCCAGTTCTAAAGAAATCCAGGCATAGCTCAAAGTTGGCCTATCCACAAGAAGTTGAGACCCAGCGGCTGAATACATGGTTTACTATCAACACACATCTACAGCATTATTGTTTTGCAAAACTAGAAATAAAGTATTGCCTCTAAGAGGGTCTTCATACCTCATAAGTGTTGTATTTCCCGTGAAAGGACCAAACCTAATATCTTCAAATGGAGGTTGAAAGCCCAGAATATGTAAAGCTTCTTCTTGGGTAATAGGTGGAAGACTACAAAAGAAACATTCATTGCTTTTCATTTTTCAATTCCTGTCATACGCAAATATAACCTATCTCAATGTTAATATACTTGTCTGATTGGCAGATAATTTTAGTAACATTTTTCATTATTTTGTTTAATTTTTTTAGAGACAGGGTCTCACTCTGTGGTCCAAGATGGAGTACGATGGCATGAGCATAGCTCACTGCAATGTTAAACGACTGGGCTCAAATGATCCTCTTGCCTCAGCCTCCTTAGAGGCTAGAACTACAAGTATATGCCATTGTGCCTGGCTAGTTGTTTTTATTTTTTTACTTTTTGTAGAGATGGGGTTTGGCTTTGTTGCCCAGGCTGGTCTCTAACTCCTTGGCTTCAAGTGATACTCCCACCTTGGCCTCCCAAAGTGCTGAGATTACAGGTGTGAGCCACTGCACCCAGCCCATTTTTATTTTATTGAAAATAATACATGTATATATTTTAAGCTAAAAGACTTCTACTAAAATACAGCAGGGCTTTTCTAATTTATAAAAAATATCTTCTTAAAAATTTTCTGTTATAGAAAAAGCAACATCAAATTATCTTGGAGTTTGGGGATATTGATAAATTGACATACTTACTTTCCAGCTCCCATTGTGCTGTATAAGAAATTCCAACAAGAAATTAACGAGGAGATGCCACAAGAAGTCTTATACTGTGGTCGGCTTATGCAGTACCTGAGAAAGAAAAAGACCATTTTCTTCACTTGAATGAATACAAAATAGGCATGCTAGAAATAGAAAACTCATGGCAATTAAGAGTGTTAATATAATGAAAACTTTGATCCCCGAAATCAATGTGAAAATCTTCCATTTTCCTAATTAATCATGTCATAACTGTAAAATAACAACAAATCAACTACTTTAATAAAGACAGCTAAGTATGACTAAGTACCAGTTAAAGTGGATGTTATCCAAACCAATGGGAAAAAAATTAATAATATATAAATCTAGACCTCACTTATTAAAATTTTCGTGTAAAATCCTGGTTGACCTGCATACATGATTATTTGCTTCTTCAAGAAATACAGGAGAAACAAAGCAATACCCCCATATATCAACTTCTCAGAGAGATTCTTCAACCCAAACTAAATATCATCCATTTATTACCCATTGTGTCCATCTAAAATCCTTGGGCAAGAAGCCGTGAAGCAGTACTTCTCCCGTCACAGAGAATTTTAAAAGTAAAACACAAAATCCTTCCATGGCATGATTCAGTGGCACTAAGTAGTCCAGACAATTTTCCAAACAGTCATGATTCAAGAGAGAAACTGAGGCTAACGTGAACAGAAGGAGAAAGAGACAGACTATTCTGTTTTAAGAAAGGAATAGGTTGGCTTTCAAATGATCTTCTTCTACTGCTTTCTAAAGAAGATACTAAGAAGTAGCCAGAATGAAACAAAGAAACAAGACCTATCATCACTAAGAGCAACATTAGTGTCATCTGAAAAATTAATTTACAAAATGAAAAATTAGACATATGCATGTGAACATATATGCATTTGTATATGTACATATACTGTGCATATTGGCACACATACAAGTTAACCATGAAGCTTAAATCTTTCTTTCTAAGTTCTAGGGTACATGTGCAGGATGTGCAGCTTTGTTAGATAGGTAAACGTGTGCCATGGTGGTTTGCTGTATCTCAACCCATCACCTAGGTATTAAGCCCCATGTGCATTAGTTATTTTTCCTGATGCTCTCTTTCCCCCATCTCCTACCCCACAACAGGACCCAGTATGTGTTTTTCCCTCCCTGTGTCCATGTGTTCCCATTGGTCAGCTCCCACTTATACGTGAGAACATGGGCCATGACCCCTAAATCTATAGACTGAACTACACAAAATGATACACAGAAGTAATAACTGTCACTTAACATACTAAGTGCTGTCTTCAACACTTCATTGTCAAATCTACTGAATCCTCCCTCAGTTGTGCTTTGTTCTTTAATTGTGATAGAAACATACAACATAAAAATAAAAATAATAAAATAAAAAATAAATTCTGCACAACAAAAGAAACAATCGTTGGAGTGAGCCAGCAATCAACAGAATGGGAAAATATTTTTGCAAGCTACCCATCTGACAAAGGGCTAATATCCAGAATCTACAAAGATTTTTTTATAAATTTACAAGAAAAAAATAAAATAAAATAAATTTACAAGAAAAAAAAACATCAAAAAGTGGGTGAAAGATACAAACAGACACTTTTTTTTTTAATTGCATTTTAGGTTTTGGGGTACATGTGCAGAACATGCAAGATAGTTGCATAGGTACACACGTGGCAGTGTGTTTTGCTGCCTTCCTCCCCTTCACCCACATTTGGCATTTCTACCCATGCTATCCCTCCCCAGCTCCCCCCGCGCTGTCCCTCCCCATTCCCCCCAATAGACCCCAGTGTGTAGTGCTTCCTTCCCTGTGTCCATGTGTTCTCATCGCTCATCACCCGCCTATGAGTGAGAACATGCGGTATTTCATTTTCTGTTCTTGTGTCAGTTTGCTGAGAATGATATTCTCCAGATTCATCCATGTCCGTACAAAGGACACGAACTCATCATTTTTGATTGCTCATAATATTCCATGGTGTATATGTGCCACATTTTCCCAGTCCGGTCTATCATCGATGGGCATTTGGGTTGATTCCAGGTCTTTGCTATTGTAAACAGTGCTGCAATAAATATTCGTGTGCATGTGTCCTTATAGTAGAACGATTTATAGTCCTTTGGATATATACCCAGTAATGGGATTGCTGGGTCAAATGGAATTTCTATTTCTAGGTCCTTGAGGAATCACCACACTGTTTTCCACAATGGTTGAACTAATTTACACTCCCACCAGCAGTGTAAAAGTGTTCCTATTTCTCACATCCTCTCCAGCATCTGTTGTCTCCAGATTTCTTAATGATCGCCATTTTAACTGGCATGAGATGGTATCTCAAGGTGGTTTTGATTTGCATCTCTCTAATGACCAGTGATGATGAGCATTTTTTCATATGTTTGTTGGCCTCATGTATGTCCTCTTTTGTAAAGTGTCTGTTCATATCCTTTGCCCATTTTTGAATGGGCTTGTTTGTTTTTTTCTTGTAAATCTGTTTGAGTTCTTTGTAAATTCTGGATATCAGCCCTTTGTCAGATGGGTAAACTGCAAAAATTCTTTCCCATTCTGTTGGTTGCCGATTCACTCTAGTGACTCGAACAAACACTTTTCAAAAGAAGACATTTATGCAGCCAACAAACATATGAAAAAATGTTCATCATCACTGGTCATTAGAAAAATGCAAATCAAAACCACATTGTGATACCATCTCACACCAGTTAGAATGGCAATCATTAAAAAATCTGGAGACAACAGATGTTGGAGGGGATGTGGAGAAATAGGAACACTTTTACACTGTTGGTGGGAGTGTAAACTAGTTTAACCATTGTGGAAAACAGTGTGGCAATTACTCAAGGATATAGAAACAGAAATACCATTTGATCCAGCAATCCCATTACTGGGTATATACCAAAAGGACTATAAATGATTCTATTATAAAGACACATCCACATGTATGTTCACTGCTTACAATAGCAAAGACTGTTTACAATAGGAAAGACTTGGAACCAACCCAATGTCCATCAACAATAAACTAGATAAAGAAAATGTGGCATATATACACCATGAAATACTATGCAGCCACGAAAAAGGATGAGCTCATGTCCTTTGCAGGGACATGGATGAATCTGGAAACCATCATTCTCAGCAAACGGACACAAGAACAGAAAACCAAACGCCACTCATAGGTGGGTGTTTA